TCTCGAAGGTGGTTGAAGCCGAAGCCACCATCAATAGCTGAAACAGTGAACAGACTAGTATGAATACTAGCATCACCTCCAGAACAGCCCTTTTTGCGGGTAGTACAGTGACCAGCTTCAAAGGGGCTAAACAAGGTAGTGGATTTAGCCAAAGAGGTAATGGGGCAGCCTGGCGAGGAAGGGGAAGAAGAAACTGGAGAGGAGGCCGTGCAGAACCGATAACCTGCTGGTATTGCGGATTGCGTGGACATCGGGAATCGGACTGTCGAATAAAGCAGCTTGCGAGCATACTGCGGAATGATAGATTCAGACAAAGACCAAACCCGGTCAGCACTGCATCTGCAAGTGTAACCAGAGTCCAGGCTCTGGTTGCTGGAGACTCTTCAAAACCAGGTTACAAATACGAATGGGTAGTAGACTCGGGCGCCTTGCATCACATATGCAATACCCGAGCAGCCTTCCGAAACTTAGGCTTTCTTTCCTCGCCTATCAGTATTCTTCTCGGAGATTGCTCGGAGGTCTTTGGGATAGCAAAAGGGGAAATCAGCATGCATTTAGGCTCTGGACTTACACTAGAACTTACTGCCCTCTACGCTCCAGCCTTTAGCCTTTCCCTACCCTCTATTAGTCAACTTCCACCACAGTTCTCCGTAGTCTTCCAAGGCAACACGTGTTATATCGCAGACCAAAAAGTGACAGCTCAACCAACCGAGTTAGCTATACTCTCCGATGGTCTATACAGACTAAAGGCCCAAATCACTTACCGAAGCGAGCAACCAAGAAGCAAGGCTATTACAGCCCGGGCCCTGGCTACGACCAAACCAAGTCTCGATTTATGGCATAAGCGGTTCGGACACATAGGAATTCAAAGCTTGCGCCATGTGCTAGGAGAAAGGTTTCCTTCAAATGCAAGCCTACCGTTATGTCACACCTGTGTGCTTGGCAAACAACACCAACAGATTATTCGGACACCAGTTCCCGGCGTATCACGCCCATTCGAGTTAGTGCACTCGGACGTTTGCGGTCCAATCTCAACCCTATCATTCTCAGGTCAGAGATACTTTGTCATCTATATTGATGACTTCTCAAGACGAGTTTGGGTTTACTTTCTTAGATCGAAAGAATCTCTTGAAATGACGTCAGTATTCCAAGAGTTTTCGGCACGCATAGAGAAAGCATATCCAGAATGGCCTATAGCAAGATTCCGTTGCGACAACGGAAAGGGAGAGTATGACAATAGACTCTTTCGTGGAATCCTTCGTGTCTCAGGAATCTCATTCGAACCGGCTCCGCCATACACGCAGCACAAGAACGGCAAAAGCGAGCGAACGATCCAAACACTTGTCACTAAAGCGCGTACTATGTTAATCGATGCCAAACTACCTACCGCCATGTGGGCAGAGGCGATATCAACTGCAGCATACCTCTATGAGCGTTCTCCAAGCCGGTCTATCCAACATCAAATCCCATATGAGCTGCTGAACCAAGGCAAGAAACCAGTCATCGACCACCTGCGCAGATTTGGCTGCCAAGCGCATAAGTTGATTCCACCATCGCAACGCAAACACAGAAAGTTTGGAGAGCGCTCACGTCCGTGTACTATGATTGGCTATGTACATGATGCCACCACGATGTGGAGGCTCTGGGATACGGTAGAGAGGCGAATGATTACAGCTTCAAATGTTGTCTTTGATGAAGAGACAATAGTAGGAGATGTGGGATTTGAGGATGTGTTGAAGCAGGTATTACCAGAAGAGGTATACCCAGATGAAGACAGCGAAGAGCTTGAAGAGGCTCCAGCACTACAAAGCAAAAGTCTAGTTGAGAGCAGAACTCCTAGTGAACCATCTAAACTGTTAGATGAAGGGTTGAGAGCAAGAAGTGCCTCACCAGAAGCCTCAGCTGTAGTTAACAGTGAGAAGGAGCCATCTGTTGCATTGCCAGAGACTCATTTGCGAAGATCAAGCCGCATACAAGCTAAGACTACCATTGTAGTAGAAGAAAGTTCCGGTGCTAGAACTGATGATCTCCCAAATGTGGTTGAGATGTCGCATCACTGTGATGCTGATGAACCGGAGAGTTACTCTGAAGCCGCATCTGACTTGAGATGGCAGGGTGCTATGAAAAGTGAGTATGATTCATTAAAGACACATAAAACGTTTTATCATGTCACCGATGATGACTTAAGACCAATTACTTGCAAGTGGGTTTTTAGACTAAAAACCAATGCAGATGGAAGTCAACGCTACAAGGCTAGGCTAGTTGCAAGAGGCTTTGAGCAGGTTCATGGTGTGGATTACCATGAAACCTTTGCGCCTGTGGCTAGGCTTACTACATTTCGTCTCTACATTGCTCTCGCACTTGAACTTCAGGCTACAATCTACCACCTTGACGTAGTAACTGCCTTTCTCAATCTACTGATACAGGAATGCACAGCAATTACTATTCCTGAAGGGATTGAGTGGCTTGACCCACATCTAGCCCAGCAACTCACTCCTTCCTCTAAACTTCGTCTCAATAAAGTACTATATGGTCTCAGGCAGGCTCCGCGCTTATGGTACAAGGACATTGCAGCAACACTCACTACTCTCGACTTTTCTCCGAGTGCCTCGGACCCAAATCTCTATCTATCGAAGTTGCGAAGAATGATGATCCTACTCTATGTAGATGACATTCTGCTCTGCGCCCAAGGAAACAACATGGTCTACCTAAATGAAGTGAAAGCTTCATTGGAGTCAAAGTACCAAATCACAGATCTTGGGCCTGTACAACAGTACCTGGGAATCACCATCTGTCAAAACCACAGTCAGATTGTTCTTTCTCAATCTCGCTTTATTTCAACTCTCTTGCAAAGGTTCAAGTTACAGGACTGTAATGGACACTCAACTCCACTTGAACCAGGATCTAGAACCAGGACTGAATCTCCTGCTCTTCTGGATAGTGCAATAAAGACTTATCAAGCAATTGTAGGAGGTATTATGTACTTGATGCTTGCAACTCGACCCGATTTGGCATATAGCATATCAGTACTATCTAAACATACAGCCAAACCACAGCAGCATCACTTAGGAATGGCAAAACGAACACTACGCTATCTTAAGAAAACAATTCTACTTAACCTGATATATAGAAAAGCCTCGACCCTACCAGTGGATCCGCAGGCTTCTTCTTGGATAACAATTGTTGGCTTTAGTGACTCCGATTGGGCAGGAGATCCCACTGACTGTCACTCCACTGCTGGATTCATATTTCTACATGGTGGAACCGCTATCTCATGGAAATCGAAAAAGCAATCTCTAATTGCTTTATCAACTACGGAAGCCGAGTATGTGGCTGCCAGCGAGGCATCCAAAGAAGTAGTTTGGCTCCGGCGGATTCTTTCAGAAATGTTTACAACCTTCAACTCTCTTGAATGCTCACCTAGTACCATTCCACCAATAAGGCTATTTATCGACAATCAGGCAACAATCAAGCTTATCAAAAACCCCAGATTTCATGAGCGAACCAAGCACATTGAAATCAAGCGCCACTACATAAGAGAAACCTACGAACACGGTGAAATCTCGCTCGAACATACTCCAACAACTGAAAACATGGCTGACACACTGACCAAACCGCTTCCGACAACTACCTTCTGGATGCACCTTTACCGAATGGGACTACGTGAGATTGGAGATTCCTTGCCAAGCTCAGAAACTGTATACTAGTTAATAGGTTCTTTCCTTCTTCCTTGTTACCTTCCTTCATCTCCTGTGTAGCACTCTTTTCCCTTACTCAAGGCTTTTTTCCCACAGGGTTTTTGCCTGAGTTTTGGGTTTTTAACGAGGCTACAAGTACTGTATCTTGTGATTTAACTTTATCTTTTCTTTCCTTCTCTGATATTGCAGTAAGAATCATCGAAGTGGGGGAGTCTTGGAAATGTTACCGCAATATGATGAGTAGTGCGGATATGTTGGGCCGACTGTTGGGCCTCTCGGAGCTTGTGGACCTAGGAAATGACTGAAGTCACATTGATGTATATTCATGTCACAAATTGCTATAAGTACAGCGATCTGAGATGTATCTGTAGAACAACAAGAAGAACAACCGTCTTTCTCTTTCTCTCATTCTTGATCAGTCCCATCTCTTTGTACTTCCACTGCGGCCTTTTTCTGTGTGACCTCCAACAAAGCAGCTGGTTTTGATGGTGGAGTATGATATGATACCCGTTTTGAAAAGTTTGAAACCTCGTTTGTAAGTTGGTGCGCAAGCCCCTTTTCCCTTTGTCTGCTCTATCCTTTAAACATTTTGTTATTAAGCGACGTTCCTGATTATGATAGCAGAGGTTGCCGTTTGCACTCAGATTGGACTACTTCTTTCACGGGTCTTTAAAGGAATACCCATGCGCAAAATGCAGCGTACATTTACTATGATGCCTCAAGACAGCGGGTGGCTAGGCTATAGGAGGAAGTGATACTTAGATCACTCCCAACCTACTACCATCATCTACAGCTTCAAGTCCTGGCTACGGTATGCGGATTTAGAAATATGTGGGTGCCTGGACCTGATAAATGCTTTTTATTATCTTGAGCACGAAATAGGTGGGAATGGGATTATAGTGGGAGTGGATCTAGGGTAGGGCAAAGGAAATAAGGCAGGGTAGTCCCCGGTTTTTGAGTCTAACCCTTTTCTCTCCCTTTCCAAGTTGAGATCTATTTCTTTCCTCTTGTTTTGTTCAGGGGCTTGCTTATTTTTTTGTTGGTGTTTTCGTTCGCATGTTTTTATGGAGTTTATGTGGAGGTTAGCCCCCGAAATTTAGCCCTCCGTAGTGTACACAGTTTTTGTTTGTCGTGCCGGATATTTTGGTCTGGAATAAATCGGGTTCCAGAATTGCCATTACTTAGAGAGTTTCTATCTAGGAATCGAGTCCCTGATATGGTATAAAAAAAAAAAAGAGAAGAAACAGAAAAACGACAAAATATCCACCTTAATTTCTCTTTATGCCCCTCCCCTCGATAGTCCTACCCGGCAGCAAACGTCGACCGGGCCCTCAACCTACTCCCGAACCACCAAAGCAAAAACGGCGCGGGCACGCCGAGGGCCAAAGCCAAAAATCCCAGCACGCTATTCCCCCATCCATAATCCAAATTTTGATAAATATATGGCGCGCAAAGCGGTAACCCAAAGCCCGCCAGGGACCGCAGTGTGGTGGAAGCTCCGAGAGCGCTCGCAGAATAGCGCGTGTATGTGTCCACGATGTATGTCTGTATGCACTGGTGTCCGATGATCGAGCCCAGGCAGAACATGCATGCACCTATGTTGGGCATTATCCAGTGGAGGTTGTGCTGCGCGCTCCAGCCATACCAGAAGAGGCCGGTGGGGACAAAAAGAGCACCGACGAACATTAGTGGCACTCGAAATTCGGGGATACCTTTTCCATTGTTGTAGGTTTTTAGGCGGATGTATATCTTGGAGGGTTAGTTGAGGGATAAGAGGTGGGGGTTCGAGGGGAGGGTGGGGGGGCGCACACCTTGTCGCTCAAAGGAGCACAGATTTGTGCCCCAAGGAAGAAGCCGAGACCCATTGAGAGGTAGTTCAGTCCACTGTTGCCGATGCTCATGTGGTATCTTTTCTCCCAAAGGATTGGGAAAGTTGACAAAACGAGATACATCAAGCCAATAAGGTATGCCATGTACAAGGATAGAACTTGTACAATTATCTGTGTTCCGAGCAACTTGAAAGGTCGGACCAGAGATATTCTCAAGGTCTTTCCAATTGTCTTATCGGAGTCGTCATACTCGCTACGGAGGTTCTGGTTTCCCGTTTCGTGAATCAGTCGGGCAGTTTTGTTGGCGAGAATCTTCGGAGGGTATGTTTCTCGGATGAAGAATAGTCCCAGAATTAGGGGTACGCAGCTGAGAATTGAAGTTGCGTGGAAGATCCAACGCCAAGAGGTGTTCTCCACGATGAATCCACCGGCTATGGGACCGACTGCTGGTCTTTAGAGTAAAAACTGAAGAGAGTAGAAAGGATTAATACCTGTTGGGCCGAGAAGAGGGGCGAGCGAGTACAGTGACATTGCTTTTCCGCGTTCCTCGGTGGTCCAAAGGTCACTAAGCATTCCACCGCCGACCTATTAATTCATTAGCAAGGGAGAAATGGGAGGTTCTGGGGAGGGAAGTACCGGTAAAGGTGCACTCCCACCCAATCCCGACAGAAATCGAAACACGATCAGCTGAGATTTTGTCCGGCTGAACCCGCAGGCAGTATTCCACACCACGAAAAATAGATTGGCGAGCTGTAATACAGGCACGCGGCCATATATCTCGGAGAGAGGTCCCTGCGCCGCCCAACTTTTAATCACACCACACTTTGTACGGCAGTCCATCGATGACTTACGAGAACCAATGGACCAAAAACATATCCCAGGACAAATACCGATAACATCATGTATGTTTCTATTTCTTCCGTAATTTCAAACCCTTCCGCTATTCTACCTAGGGCTGGTGCAATCATTGAACTCGCTGCAGGTCTGCTCGGAAAATTGTTGTTAGTGTACTGTGTTCGGTCAAGCCACTAGCCGTAGGAAGGGCACTCACGATATAAGGGCAAAAGCAGAAACAATAGCAGTTGTTCCCCACTTCGCTTTAAAGCTCCAGTTCTTCGGATTCTCCATGTCCTCAGGCCCGCCGAACGTTACTACGTTTGGATCATGCGTCTTTCCTAGATCCGGGGGTGGTGTCTGAGGCCGATGATCGGCGGCTTCAAGATCTTTAGATGCTGCATCCGAATTCTCGCCCTCAGGCTTTCTGTGATTAGTCTGCGAGCGGGATATCGATTGATCGTCTGGGTGGTGGGAATTAATCCGAGCCAATCCCTTCTCGGATTGTCTTGATTCCTGTCTGGATAAAGGGTCAAAATCAGGGTGCATCATGAATGTATTGTGTTAATAGCTAAGAGCTATCCGGTTTCCAGATTGAAGGAAGAAGGAGGAGAGGAGAAGTGGGAGTTCAGAGTCATGATGTAGACTCTTCTTCCCACCTGTGCTAGTTTCCCTAGGCCGTAAGTCTCCGAAAATGGAGACCCGGGGAATAGGTGATAAAATATCTCTGCGTATCTAGTGTTCGGAACGGTCTGCGGGCCCCAGAGGCCCCACCGGGGCTGCCAAGGAGATTGTGCTAGACGGGACCATTGTTAACAGTATGCCTGATCCTGTAATATTTGAGGACGGCAGGTTTTGGAAGGGACCAAGGCCTGGAAAGATGAGATATTTGTTTTGGAGTCCTAGTGCTCTGGTATGCATGTGGGTGATCGGCCACCCAGGGATTGGGTGTCTGAAAGCTTCTTACTTGTTTGAGAAATTTCCATGCCAAAATGACTTTTATTTCCTATGAGGGTGGATAGGTTGGCCTCTAGGGTCCCTGGCTGTCCGGCCCACCAGGTCCAGACCTGGGTACAGTACAGGAGCCACAGGTGATGGCAACGGACTGCGGGGTTTCTCCCGGGGCTGGGAATCGGCCAAGATCTTTAGGGATCTGAAGCGGACCGTAATACTCACGAGCCGTAAAAACTCCCGTAGTCCACTACTGTAATATATCTCCGGAGATAGTGGATTCCGGGGGTTTTTGCGGTACAGGTACAGTACCCAGGGAGAAGTTCTCGTACAAGACAGGGGTTATTTTGCTAGTTAACTATCCCTGTGCTGGGTACTTGTAACATGATCTACAGAGGGTCACAAGTATGGATTTGTGGGGTGTGGTTTTTGACAAATCAGAAGCAATGACGATATGGGACTCGGGAGAACACCAGCCACTGCTTGGATGTACAGTACAAGTACAATAGTATTTTCCGCCGCTGGGATATTTCCGAAGTGCTAAAACTAGCCTGTCTGAGTAACTAGGAGGAAATATACAAGGACCCACGTTTCTACCATGCCCATTCTGGACCGGTGCGGGTGTGGCCTCGTGATATTCCTGGCGCCGGGCCTTCTTGAAATTGGAAGCGTTTTCTATCATTATTATTCAAATAGGATAGAGCCCAGCATATTAATTGGGGCTGGAATGTCCCAGCGGTCCTCGGGTGCCGGGAATTCTAGCCTTCTTTCCTTCTCTCTCGTTTTGCTTATTGGTATCGAGGGGGTGCCTGCAAGCAAGTGTTAGCGAGCATAAAATCAAGTGCCAGGTTGTGCGCCGTAACCAATGGATAGATAGACCTTTGCCAAAGTGGGCTGCGCTCAAGGGTATCACTTTTGGAGCCGATTTTGATCACCTGAATGGTCGCTGGCCAATTAGCAAGAGATGTCATGTCTAGTTCCCGGTTAGATTTGATGCTTTTTTCCCGAAATCTTCCCTAATAGCACACATAGGTCAATTTCATTTTTGACGCCTTCCTCTTGGCAATGTCTCCCTATTCGAGCGCAGTCGCACCCCGACCCCGCTATCTTGGGTGACCAAAAATCCGAAGAATCCATCCGGTACAACGAGTGATTCGGGACAACGGGTTGAACTTAGGTGTATGTTTTTTTTGGATTCGCATTATTTCATACGGGACAGCGAGGCACCTGTATTTTCGAGTTCTGGGACAGTGAGGTCCGACTGTACTTGAACTTTGTCGTAATGGTATTCCCCTCCATGATGTGAATCAAATTGAGATAGAAATTCTCCTACTTCCCTATATCTCGTGAGGGGATACTCGCGAACGAACAATTAGGAGTCCTCGGCATGTGCTCGGATAGCACCAAAATTCGGGGCAAATATTTGTATGCCAGGTTATCCGTGTACATCTGAGAGCATATGCTAGGCTTAGGCTCAAATGTTCAGGTTCTTCGGATCGGGAACCTGTATAATTCCAAACTGGCCGGGCCGGACTGCGACAAGACCGGCAGAATTCCCAGACAGGCTTCCCTAGTGTTTTTTTTTTTGGCAGGCCCTGAGGGATATGCTGGTATGTTATGTGACAGTTCAACGCGACTACGATAATAAATTTGATTGGAGGTTGCAACATTCTTCGGCCTGTTTCTGCGGCGGGATCCCGGCGTGCTCTGGGTGGGGCCCACCTGAGCACATGCAAGACGTTAAGAGCCGGTTCCCCTCCTAAGTTATTCCGCTACGCCCGCAGCCGGGAAAAGCAAGTGTGACGCGGGACGCGGAAAAAGTAGTTAATCAACAGCGTCCAATATTCCTCAACTAGCTCAAACCCTTCAGGCTCTGTAACACAACTAAATAGGAGTAGAGGAAGGCCTCCGCCCTTAAGGTTGCGGGGAAAATGTTCAGGTGGCTGTCAATTTGGAGGATGCGGTTACCAGCTGCTGGGGTATTGATGCTGGTAAGTCTAAGAAGGAGAGGTAGAAAGCAGTGGACAACGCAATGTTGAAGACCAACTAGGGTTACCCTGAAAAGGGCCCCGCTATGGGAGATCTTAGGTTCATTCAATTTCTGCTAGATCTATTGCAAACTCTTGATATGGGCGGACACCATCTACCACAATACCTATGTAATCAGCAGTTAGTAGACAGGGGTCTTGGTGGTCACTTAGTGAGGCGGAGTCTGTGCGCGAGAGGTACTATGTCGATACTACATAAGTGGAGCAGCTAGCTTAACAACAGTAAGAAAAATTAAGTTTTAAAAGTACTAGCAAAGGAAAAATCAACTTGAATGCATCCTTATAAATTCTACTGGTATCATACTTCATACACTCCCTCTAGTGTCTATCATATCAGTCATTACAAACTGTCTTAATATTTAGAGATTTTCAAAGGAGTTGTCAGATATAGTTATCCATACTGGCCATAAAACCTCAGATTGGACAACCAACTCAAGATATAAGATGTATAAATCTATTCTTAATTATATATTCATGAAAATGTTTAATTGTCAACTCTGGATAAGGAAAGATAGATATAGGATAGCTGACTAGATTCCCAATAGTGGAAATGATTTGGGAGATATATAAAGGGATAATGATCATGCCTTTCATAGTATCTGTACACTCTTGGTAAAGTATTCTGATATTATTATTTTTTAGGAGGAATTGTTATAGTTGTTTCATGAGGAGTATAAAGTGAGATAGCTACCATCTGATTTTAAACTGTGGGTTGTATTCTTTCTTAGCCATTCCTGACTAAGTCATGACCAAGATTTTTACCTAGTGACTTTATGCCCAATTAATTGAAAATAAAAAATAAATAAAAAAATAGTACTAGCATAGCGAAGTGAAGATACATACAGGATAGATAGGCGAGTGGCATACTGTACGAAAGGGCAGTGGTAGCGGTAGTAGCGACAGTGAAGTCTTGGTTGACGAATTGGACCCTGGTCAGTCGTATATATCCTGAGGAACTGTTGCTCGGAATACTAACTTTGTAGAGTCCAATTGAAATATTGTAGTGCACCTATCCACCATTTTCTCACTGGGTTATCTAACAAAAAAAAATGTAGTAATACGTATCATTTCTCCTGTTTTGCTTCACACTTGCTTTTGTGTCACACGTGCTTTTACAGACTATGAGGGAAAGAGAAATAGGAGGAGAGCCGGCTGTTATATCAACCCACCGGTATTGGGGTTCGTCACCTTCCCCGCCCATTTGCCCAAAGCCCGGGGCAAACTCCTCACGATGGTTCACAGTTCGTCCTCGTCATACACTGAGGGGGTGGCCCCCTGGTTGAGAACACTATGTGTATCTGAGTGGCAATACCAATTATACCCCCCGTTCCTGTTACTGATAGTTCCGGACAAGTATAGCATGGCTCGGGACGACTGTTGCCGGTGTGCTCTGCGAAGAGAATATTGCTCAACTTCAACCCCCGAAGGATTTTCAGCCACAACTCCTGCTAGGATTATATCTTTGTTAGGCGATAGAGTGGATGGCTCATACACATTAATAAGGGAAAAAAAATAGGAACATCTCAGATTCACATGGAGATATTGGGGTTCGGGAGGAGGTCCATCCTTGGTATCATAGGAGATCGAGAATGTTCGGGGCATGTTAATTACTATTGATATCCTTGGTGGAAACAGCTGATAAACATCTTCCAGGGGAGTAACCTGTAACCACCGATTGTCGGCTCGTTACGGCTACCCAAGTACAGGGCCCTTACCAAACTTGCCTTGTTATATCTGAGCCGAGCAATCTTTTATTCTACCACGAAATACAGGGGTCCGAGCTTAAAATAGCATGATATGCCCAGACAGGGGTGGATTTCTAGACTATGACACCTTCAGCATAGCAACCTGCCCTGCCAGCCATTGAAATGCCTATTCTTGAGGACTCCGAATACCGAAATACTACACTCCGAACAAACCGTAAAAATCAGAGGAAAATTTGCCGAACTATATTTAAGCGAGGCCTGATTCCTAATATCTTCCTCAGCTACAAAAATGGGTGTCTGTTACAGCTATGCTGTTTAAGGACTGTGCTCATGTTTGCGATATTGAGGTCCCGGCGGAGGAGGTCATAGTTTAAAAACGTGACCCCGGGCACGGCACTTGTGGGACTTTACCCCTGTCACGGCATACCATGGTATTTTGTACATAAGCCCCTGTCTTTCATGGTGCAAGCATAATACCCGATGGCTCCGGGAGTCTGCGTGGGTGCCTGGGATCTGCTCAAGGGTAGGCAGGGGGCAAGGGCTTCCAACCGCCTCTTTAGTTGCCTGGATGTAGCTATAAGTTATTCGAGGTGGGCGCCTGCCAACTTCAGCATCCTCCTCGCCCCGATTTTCTGGTCTTGGGATTCATCACACTGCACACAGGTGCCGAATTATCACTTCTCACGCGAGCGAGCAAGGAAGGAATATCATAACTAGAATAGCAAGCCAAGGAAAAATAATGATCCTGGAGCTCGATAGTGAAGATACGGTGGTGAGGACAAGGCGGTGTGAAAAAGGATGGATCCCGCAATACTTGAATAACATGTTATCATAGATTCCCGGA